CCTCCCCCCCCTCCCCACTCCCTTTTCGACACCCTAGTTACTCTGCTTCGGTGACGTATTATACAAGTAAGGCATCTTCATAAAATAACATGGCCACTGACGCGTGCAACCGTCGCAAATATCGCTGTGTCGAGTACTAGAAGCTCCTTGTGCAAATTATGCTTGACGACAGGAGGAAATGATACGACGTGGAAATAAAATGCAACAGGCAGATAACAGCGGCCATGTCGGAGTACGCCTATGCTGCAGCTGCTGTTGCTGTTATTGCTGCTGCTGCTGCTGCTGCTGCTGCTTCAACTGCGCAGGATTATGCAGAAGCTGTAAAGGAGTACAAAATTAAGATACAAGTACAAAGGTATTTTTCTAGTCTGCCGTGCAGGGTGAAAGGAGACAGCAAGACAAAAGGGGGGGGGGATAATCGGTAGACAGAGAAATGGACAGACGAAAAGAAAATGAAGGTAGATGAGTGGAATACGATAAGACAGACAGACAGACAGACAGACAGACAGACAGACAGACAGACAGACAGACAGACAGGGAATATAGATCTATACAGACAAAAAAAACCCCCAGACAGGCAGATAATATGCACGAAGATGATCACATGGGCAGACAGATGGAAAGACAGATAGGCTGAGTAATATATCAGGCACAATGTCTTTCAAATCGAGAATGTAGCAAGTAAGGAAGTAAGATATTATTTATGAGAGGAAGACTGTTTCAGTGGAAGGAGCAAAGCCACCAAGTTGTTTGTGTAAATTATGGAAATGCACTGACGCGCCTTACACTTACACGTATCCTACTTACTTTGAGCTAGAGCTGGGCAATGAGTCGCTTTAGCAAAATCCGAATAATTATGTTAGTGCACCTCTTCGGCAAATAATATGATATGAACCGCTACAATGTGTCACTTATAATTATCCGATTACCCGGATAGATTATCCGGATTTTGCCCACCTCTACTTTGAGCAACGCAGGCTGTCGACACAGGATCAACTTCAGATGATCTACTTTTTTTTTCTTCTCTTCTCTTCCTCGCCTTCTCCCACCCCGCCCCTCCCTCGCCCATACCCCTGCCCAATTATTCCCAGAACAATTATGTGTGCAAAATAAAATGCATCTCGTGCACACTGATGTGATAATCAATTACTGTTTTTAGATGTAGTCACACAAATCTTTGTTTTGCTCCTCACGCTGTGGAACTGTTTCTGTTAGGGGGACATGGAGACCGAAAATACGGGAACTGCTCGCGGAAGTGAAATTTGAACGGGGTGCTGGGGAGGGGGAGGGGGGTTATAATGTTCTATAATATAATTTCTATGTCAGACTGATCATTATTTAGACAAAACTAACGGAAACTAAAGAAAGTAATTCCTTT